AAATCACAGTCTGTTTTCAGATCCTTAAAAAGGCATTTTGGATACATCATCATCCACATTCTAATAACACAAGAACTGAACCAACAAACGCTAAATTAAGATTTCTTTAATAAATGCAATTTTTCTTTTTTCCAAGTATGTGGCTGACAAAAAGAGTTTGGATAAAATAAAGAAAAACTTGAGCCTATTCCCAGTCCTGAAAACCAATGCTTTTTCAAGTTTGTAAATGCTTTTCGTTTAAGATGCAAGGCCTCATTCCAACCCACTGTGGTCCACATACTAGTCATGTCCAGAGGCACCACCACAGGTTACTGAAATCAGTCCTTCTGGTTTCGCCTGGGATGAATAGAGCAGCCATAACTGGCCTAACGTTTTCAGTCCCCTACTCTCATTTCATGTGGACACTGGACCACTTTCCTGTCCTTCCTCTGCGCCCTTCTGTCCACCGAAACACATACACTTCTCTACCCTTTCTCTTCCCCTGCTTTTGCCTTCCTTTACCACACCCAGTTTTATCCCCAAGGAAGTAAAACTATGAATATAAATTGGAAGAAAACAGGAGGGAGAGAAGAGGCAGGGAAGGAAAAGGGCAAAATAAGGTATGTCTTTGTCTGCTGCATTGTTTCAGAGCCCATATAGTGGGAGGTAAAATATTATAGTCTTGAAGCTGACACAGATGTTTAAGAGGCCACATAATATGCAGCCATCTACAAACACCACCATATTCAACCTCTATATTCACATTGGCCTGGAGGAGTAGAAATGCCACAAAAAATACCTGTGTTTCCACTCCAAGGAAATCTTTTCAAATAACAGATTATGTGGTATTCTCATTCAAATATTCTTCAACAAAGGAAGGCTTGTGGAGGATTCCCAGTTTCAACACCAAACCGTTCCAACTCGGAGGAGAAAAATTAAAACTAGTCATATGAGAAAAAGTTTCTTCCCAAATAAATATTAGATGAAGTATGTAGAAATCATTAGGCTTTTAATGAATTACTGTCAGACACAACCATAATATACGCAATAATTCTCAATGCAGTGGAGAGAACTTCACATTTTCTACCTCCTCCTCCTGCCTAGCCTTGCTACATCTCTTCCTTCTTCTCTCACCCACTCCTCTTCCTCACACAATCTGCAACCTCCTCAGCCATGCCAGATCTTTGAGAGCCTGCTGAGCTCCTCCCTGTTAGCACAGCTCCATCCTCTGTCCCAGCGGGGAGCTGACAGGCTATAGCAGCCACTTCTCTCAGTTGCTCCACCTGGGCAAAACTGGCCCTTTTCTTGCCCCAGTATGCAGGCACCCCTGTAATGATGCTGAGTCTGGCTCAAATTAACAGAATGAGCCAGATCTCCAGTATTTCATCTGTGGTCATCAAAAAACACAACCTGAGTATGCTCACAGTTTAGCTGCGTGCAAAAGAATGAACCGCAAAAAACAGCTATGTGCCCACAATACTATTCTTCTCAAAATATGAGGTTATCAACCCAACCAAGTAAGTTTCCAGTGAACCCCAGAACGATAGTGTGATAGCATGCTATACAGCACTTACAGATTGCCAACACTAAAAAATTAAAAATAACATAGTCCTTCATTCACTCCAAACAAGGATGCACTAGGAATCTGTCCTGAGCGCGGCAATTATTTTTTCGCTTCAAATTTCGCAGAGGTGTACAGAAAAATTCTGGTACGAAAGTAACGCCAAGCTTTTTAATGTTCTGCCAAAATGCATCACACTTGTTTTATACAATGTCCTCCACTACTTCTAGTACCACAGAACAAGCCTTATGCACCATATGCAAGAAGCTAAAAAGCTGAAGAAATACTGTTGCAGTCAAACATAGCTTTTGCTTATCTCAGAAGTTGTTTCGTGACTTCCTGTGCTTCTAACATTAAAACCAGGGGGAAGCAAACTGTACTGACCCCAAACATACATTTACAGGATTAAAAATAATTAAGGTCAAACCACAGAAACTACTGCTCAACCTTAAAACAGACACGATACGCAAAAGTCTTTGAAACTATGGTAGTATTGAACCTAAGACAACCCTCCAGCAATAATCGTGAGTCTGTAATAGTAATTATCAGATAATTGATCGGTTTCAAATTCATCAACCTGAAAAAGCACAGCTAATTGCTAGCAGACATCAAGAAGTGCAGAGAGGAATTAATATTTCAACATAGTTTTAAACGATACCTTTAAACATACCTTTAAATGATGTTCTATTTAAAATATACAAGTCTGGTTTGAAACAGTACTATTTCTGATTTAATCTGCACATTTCAGATCTTCAGCACATCCAAGACTGATAATGCTTGGCATTTACAGAACATAATTGACAAGATGACTCATTGCAAGGAATAGCTTACCACTGACTAAAATGTTGAAGGGTTCAGACGCTGTGTCTGCTGGCTCAACCAGGCACTACTGGCAACTTTGAGCGGTAAAGCCCTGCAGCGTAATTTCCTTCATATTTACATTATCTCAAGATGTTTGGCTGTCTGATACCGGAATTTGGCACAGGTACACAATTTGTGAAACATACTTAGAAAAATAAGGTATTGTAAGTAAAATAGTAAATATATATCCTATGGTAAGCAAGGTATGTAGGCAGGTTTACTTTGTGGCTGGCATTGTACATGCAGCTGACACAGGCTAATAATATAGCTGCAAATACAACTTTTTATATCAAACTCCATAGTACAGAAACAGCCATAGAATCATAGAATAGCTTGGGTTGGAAGGGACCTTTAAAGGTCATCTAGTCCAACCCCCCGTGCAATGAGCATACAAGTGACACTCTAAATTCAAGGTAATGCCAGATTTTTCTCGTTACGTGAAAAGGTTTTCTACTTCCTCCTCACCATCTTTTCTTTCTCATGAGCAGACACCCTGAACAGGCAGCTCAATGCTGCCATCTCTCTCTGCAGCTCAGATTAGCAGCTCCAGTAGTTCTAAAATCAAGACAAACACTGCTCTGGCAAACACCCACCACATCCTCACAGAAGGTACAACCAATTACTGGCACACAAAAACATGCAGAGAGTCTTTACTACCAGAGCAAATGGCTCTTTGATGTTTCTATAAACTTTTGCCCTGCTGTATTATTCTCAGTACAGAATTATAAATAAAATACTCCAAAAAGAATCCCAAAACATTCTCTCAGAGACAAAACACCGGTGCACATCCAACCAGCATCACACTTAGTATGTGAGAGACAGGCTGCATATCTTGATGCCTCAGCATCTCCTACCAGGTAAAGCACAACCAAGGTCTTATAAGGCAATGCTGAATCAGAAGCTTACATGCATTTTACCCAAGACACTGCCTTTAAATTCTTCTATTCATTCAGAGCAAATCATTTCCTTCTTGGCTTTATAAAAGGGAACATAACTGAGAAAAAAATTATCCAGCCATTGACAAGTTTATGTTCAATATCTCTGTTATGCTCTCCTCTCTCTGAATACCAGACTTTTTCTGCTATGACATGACAAGACTATTCTCAGTTTCCACCCACACTAGACTGTCCTCTCTTTCCACCCACGCCAACCTCACACCCATTATGATTAAAAGAGATAAAAACATGGCACACAAGCACAGTCTCTGAAGAGGCATCTGTCCTGTTTTCTTCTGCCGAACATAACTTGCCTTTGATGTGTTATCATTAAAGTAAAATAATCAAGTAAAAATTGTTTTAAGAACAAGTATAGGTATAAAATCTGCAGCCTAAAAGACGGATTTTCTTCATCGTACAAGTATCTGGCCAAGCCCTTCTGAGGCAAAAAGATTAATGTTCTCCTAGCCCTCCATTTGATTAGCTCGGCAGACATCAGCAGAAGGTCCTGAAAGTTCTGCAGAAAACAGAAACTGATCCTTTAGGAATGCTTCAGTTAGTCTCATGGATGAAGTCAGGATTTTGTTTGTTAAGCTTGCCTTTTTTTTTTTTTTAATGCAGTTGATGTTAAGTTCAGTATTGATAAACGGAAAGCCATCAACAGCTACTTGAAACGAAATGGGAAAATGAAGTTCATTGAAACAGAGCTAGCTTGCTGAGTTCCTGGAAGGTACTACTTCAACCTATTCTTGAAACCCTGGGGAAAAAAAATTGTTATTGAACACAGATTTTTTTTTTTTTTTAATTACTCCCCAAAACAAAATTAATAGGTAAAAGTCATTTTCATTGGTAGCAATTACCACAAGGCAGTCTATTGACTGCAGGTCTTACAAAGGCTGTGTACAAGGGATAGTGAAGCTGCAAGGTCTCCAAAGACAGGAAATACTGCAGCTAACTTTGGTAACTTCACTTCTCTTCCAAGTATGCTCCAGGGCAGATCCTGCTACAGGGACACACACTTCTAATCTACGCAAGCTTATCATCTGTCCTGAACAACAATATTAGGTGGGGTTACAAATGTATTTTGCACCTTCTTACATGCCCCTAAATCAAGGCATAAAGAACAGAGCGGACTTGAACCAACACTCAGTTTAACCTATCCACCCACAGCCATGAGAAGAAACTCCACATCTAACCCATTTTTCCAAATAGCCACTTCATGAAGAAAACGTTCACACTTCTTCCCCAGCTATGTCCTTACTCCACTTTCCTTGCTGGGGAGGAAAGACAGACAGACAGACAGACAGACAGAAAAAAAAAAAGACTTCTTGAAGAAAACTGTTTGAATGCACCTGTAAATAATAAACCAAAATACACTGTACTCCACACTGCTTACAGTAAGCATGATTCATAAGGTATTGTAAGGTAACTAGTCACTGGGCTGTAGACCAAAACCAGCCCTTTTATTACATGACCACATGCTACCCTTTTCCTAAATTCTGCCTCATCCAGTGCAAAGATAAATCCATTCTATATCGAAGCCGGGTTTTCCAGTGAAGGCAACTTATCTGTAGGATGCCAGCTTTATCTGCAGTGTTGCCCAGCTGAAATATTCAGATCGTAAATGCCAGTAACTGAAATTTTTTAAGTGATGAGACAGGCAAACCTTATTTGAAAGATATTCAAAAGAACAGAATTGAACAAAAATAACACCAGAAAGAATATGTTCTAATCTGAAATAACATCTTTAATGTATCAGGACTGATACAAAAAAGTCCACGAGAAACAGGATTTGAGATACTTCTTGCTGTTTAAATGCTAAATGCTCAGTATCACAAAGGCTGCTCGGTCTTCCTAATAATACCGTATAGTAAAGTACATACATGGAATACGCTGCTTTTAAGTAAGACCCTGCATTGACAGGATGCATGACCAATCCACTCTTCTGTTCAGTTATCTTATTTAAGATGGACTGTGATACTAAGAAAGATATAAATATTATCCCCTGTGCAATGCTAAATCTCTAGGGGAAAAAAAGATACAATCCCTGAAAAACCATAAATCTCCCCTTTGGGAACAGGAAGGAAGGTCAACAATTTAGGAGAAAAACAAAACTCACACAGAGAAATTTCAACATGACTTTTAACAAACTAAGAAATAGACCATAACCAATTACCTACTTTCATCTCTTCACCTCTTTTTTAAAAAAACACAACCAAACAAGCAGGTTTTCCACACAATACCATATACAACGCACTGGACCTCAGAGAAGCTGGTCACCTCACCTTTCAGAACGTCCATACAAGGAGTGTTGTCTCCTCACATGGCAGCAATAGCAAAAGCTGATATTATCCAGTGCCCAAGTTACACAGGGTCTCTGACACAGAGCCTCTCCACAGTCATAATCCCAACTACCTCTTGAATACTGTCTGCATACTGACCTTTCTCTTCTGTCTCCAATTTTGGAGGTACAACAATGAGTATATGCAACAGTAAGCCTGAAAACATCCTTGTCTCTGGTGTGAGACTAACTCCACCAGAAGTGCTTCAATACTTTCTGTTATTCACTTGCCTGCTCAGCTTCTGTTCTTCTGTCCTAAGTGACAAAACAGAAAACCTCCATTCAAAGGCCACAAATAGAATACTAAAATTAGTCAGTCTGTTCCAACAGCAAAGGTACAGGAATTGCCTACAAGATGCAGGTTTTTTTCTCAGCTGTTGCACACAAACATTGACTTCTTTTGTCAAGAGAGGTGCTATTACCCTCTCCTGAGCACTTCTTGAAAACACATTTCTTGAGAGAAAGCCATACCTAAAAGGCTGGGACTGGACAGAAGGAAGCTCCTGCCCTGGTCAGTGTAATATCTGCCAGGTTAAGTCTTTCCCAGAGATCTACAGAAGATTAGGTCACACAGGCCCTCTCTGAAGAGCAGACCAGCTGCTCCACCCCCTCCACGAACAGGTTGAGTTGATCATTACCTCGTGTTTCAACAGCACTGATGCACTTTTTGATGACAGTGAACCCTATCTTATCCAGCTGTGCACCTACAAGGAAAAAAAAAGTTTGAAAAGTTTTAAAGCACCATTGCAATTATGTCTTTCACTGAAAAATAAGGCTGGACTTGATGACAGAGCTAGTACTTCTCAGGTAAAACTGTAAATATTCTGGAATAGGAATATTTCATCACCTTTCCTAGAGATATACCCCTTTTCTCCTTCACAGCCCTGCCTAGCTCAAATAAAAGCTCTTTCTGGTGGTAGTGGCTTCACTGAATCTGTTCACAGCAGCAGCCTTTGAAGAATGGGATCTCTGATTAGGTACATATGTTGGCAGATGCAAAATGGAATTTAACAGTACTTACTGCAACATCGACAACATCTGAGAGAGTTAACCAAATGGGACAAGGAAGTACTTATGATGAAAAAATATAATCATTAGCAGCAGGGCTTTTACCGAATCCTACCATGAGCCAAAGAAATTCCCACACTAAAGATACAGGACACATGTATATCGTTTCACAGCAGTTAATGATCTGACTACATAAAAGCAGATGCATTAACAGGACAACAGCTGAGATCCAGCATTCCTTTGTTGTTCCTATCTCATTCTTCACTTCAAAACTTCATTTAAAAGCTTACATTGCAAAACCACCCTTCCCCCAAACATCTGGCCTTCTGCTCCTGGGGACCTGGTCTTGCACCACGAGAATAAAAAACTGTGGAAAAACTTTTACTAATAACACCAAGATCCAGCTTTAACCAACAATCAAAAAAAAAAAAAAGGCAAGGATAAATCTTCTGAAAATGCAAGAAGGATAACTGTTTTCACTCATACACTTTGCTAACAGAAGAAAGCCATCTCTTCTACTTCCATATTGTGGTTTACATTTTAAATACATGCATTCAGGTTTTTTCCTGACCTTTATGTTCAACTGTGATTGCTTTTAAAACCATACTTATGGATTCTAACAGATGTTTACACACAATCTGGATTAAGAAAATGTGATGCATTTACATACAAATTAACACTTGTTTGAGTCAATTTCAAGTATGAAGTAAATTGGCAAAACCAATCAGACTGTTTCTCTAGCTTATGACCAGTCCTACAATTCTTATGTATGTACTAAACTGTGTTCCTGTCAAAACCCACTAATTACAAAATCCACAAAGTATATTCAGAACTCGATTCAAAATAAAATATTTAATTACATTGGATCCACAGAAAAAAGTTTACCTTTGCCTTTCTCAATTGTAAAATGTTAACAAAAATCAGCTTTAATAGTAATTCAAATACTTACTTCCCTCTCGTTTTGCATTTGCTCTATTCAAATTGATGAACAGCTAACGCAAAAAGAAAAAAGACATAAATTATTTCAAGTAATTTTATGAAACCAGAAACAAGACACTCCCAATCTCAATGCCCAGTAGGGACAAATGCAACTGTTTACAGCTAGGTCATATCACCTCTACCTACAACAGCTCTAAGAGTAGGACCAGAGGTCCATGCCCCCTCAGAAAGTAGATAATTGCACTTTTTAGGGAGTGAAATTTTTTTAAAATTCTCCACAAATACAGTTCCTTGGGGAGTAGAACAATGCTAGTTAGAGCCACTGAAATTAACTGTGATTTACGTGCTCCATGTTCTTATGTTTCTCTGCAGGTTAGTTTCCCACAGTTCAAGTTCACTCAAATCATTGTGAACTGCATTGATGACTCCTGGGAGTTATGTCCCAGCTCAGCATTCCCAGAAGGTGTAAGCTCACTGGGAAGTCCAGCTCAGCCAGCATGTGATGATTATAAACACCTCTGCAGATGAAACAAGATTTTTATAAAAGTGTTGTCAATAACACCTACTGCTAAAATTCACAGTAGTGAACTACTGGGGACAGACACATGATTGTGTCATTGACTAGAAAACCCCACTACTTTTGGCCCACAAGACAAATATAATATTTATGATTGTAAATATAATCTGCAATGTATTTCAATTCTGCAGTTCAGACCCATTTCCTGATGTGAACCAGACATTAAGCAAATTCAAGTACAACCTCATTCTCATTGACAAGGATTTTTTTGATCTAGTTTTAAAAATATACACATAATGATAATACCATTTAATTAAATCACACAAGTCTTGCCACTGGAATGCAGTATGTCAGCATAAGGCTAAGTGGACATGCTTATCCTAGACATTTTTTAGAATACCAATATCATCATTGTGATGGGAAACCATTTATAAAAATTGATGCTGTCATTACAATGAAAAATATCTCCTATCAGCATTAGCAGTTATCTATGCTGAGCTTTACCTAGTTACTCATCTCTCCTGAGTTTTATTTCACTTTTATTCTTCCTTCATTCTGCAAACTACATAATCTCAGTTTATTGAAGTATAAATGGGGTCAGGAAGCAGGGGGTGAGAGAATTTCTCCATTACACTATAAATGGGTATTTAAAAAATTACGCTCTTACAGCTTCTTTTCCATCCAAGGCTTCCATCCACAGCTTCCTGTCTTCCTCAGAAAATGCCTGCATGGTCACAGGAACTCCAGGCCTGCAAATATACCAACCACACAGGGTAAGTGCACTCACCAGTAACTAAAAAAGTCTTATCAAATTCTACTTCCAACTACAAGCAAAAGCCCATTGTCCTAAAAGTCAGGGTCATGGTTTTTTGCCTAATTACTGAACACTGCTCATCTTTAAAATAAAAGGTATAGAACTGATACACACAGTAGGAAATAGAGATAGGAAGGAAAAAAAGAGAGTGAATGTAATCTGCAAACTATTTAATTGAAATAGCTCATTATTGATAGTCTCTTGATTACAACACTTGCTGGGAGTTACTGAGTTTCTGAAATCTAAATTTATGTAACGCTCCTGCGTTGCTGTGCTGTTACATAAACAATGGCTTTTGTCAACTTATTTGATGTGTAGTCTTCAGCTTTAGAGCAGTGACAATGATTAGAGTCTTCCAGTAAATATCTTATAAAAAATAACCAAGTCTTAATGCAGTATCTCATTACAAAACTCCACTATTACTACTTTCCTAAAAAGCAAAGATGGATAACTGTAGGACGTAGGGATTAGTGAACAGAGATTAACACAAATCTACTCTTGTGTTTATGTAATAGGAAATTAAAGAGAGTAATTGTATGGTTCAGCATGGTGTACAAAGTAAAGACAGTTAAAAGCAGAACAGATTAATTGGGTAATTATTTTTCTGCCAATTAAAAAAAATCATTATATTCAGCCTGCCGCTTCTTTTGGCAAATTTGTAAATCTCATTATATAGAGATGGACAGAAATAGAGAACTAATTCATGACATCTCTCTCCCTCCCCCCCTTGTATTAAATCTTTCTTCAGGTAGCAAAATAGCTGTAGGGGAAGAAATTTTCTAAAAACAACAGCACAGAGAAAACCAGCACAAATCCCACTTTTACTTAAAACTGTAACAGTCTACACATCATGTTCATATTTTTACAACTGGAGACATTTCTAGTTCATTTTCACTTTGCCATAAATTTTATCAAACCACACAGCTTAATTACAGCATAAAACTCTATAGGTACAAATACCTCCTGCTCAAAATCTCTTTTCAGACCTGTGAGGACAAGGCATGCACACACACTCTGGCAAACCAGTCTAAACTCAGGAGGCCCAGCTATAACTTTGGAAAACGGCAGCAATCAAACAAGTCATTCTCTTTTGATTAGTTAAAGCAAGGAGACTATAAAGCCATAAAAATGGAATCTCTTACTATTCTCAGTGATAGACATTGAGCTCTTAGAGTGGGTGAGGGAAGCCTTGCCTTAATTTCTGCAACTAATAAATAGCCTTTATGACTAAAACAAGCTAACACTGGTATAGTAATAACAGTAAGCAAAGCAGCTTCTCAAGCCATATCAGCTTTTTTCAATACAAACTGGTCTGCTAGTAGCGCAGAGCTGCAACCATCATAAACATGCGAAATTAATCACTTGGTAGAAAAAAAATACCCTAAGTAATTAGCTAAATTAACTAAAAAACCCACAGGCTGATTTAGTTTTTTTCTTGTGTACTTTCTTTTACTAGTTAAAACTAAAACCAAACAGGTTACTTTTACGCAGGGCAAACTTTCCTTCTTTTCACTAAAATTTTAACTGTCAAGGTATCAAAGAGTATCACCTAGAGGCAACACATCAAACTCAGTATATCCTGCATGAAACGTTACTTATTTGTCTTCAAACTACAGTGAAAAGAGACAAAGCCTTCCCTCCTCCTTGTCCTGTGTTGGTAACATTACAATCTAAGTACATTTATCTTGTTATCTCATCTATTTATGCTCTTTATTAACAGAAGGTCTTTTTCCTACCCTAAAAGACCTCTGCTGTCTCCTTCAGACTTAACTTTCTTTACATTTACCGCTAGTCACCTCAAACTTCACATGATGGGAGTACTTGAACCAGAAAAAAACATCACTTTACAGAGATTTAGCCAGGATCCTAGCATCCTCAGAGCTTATAGTCATAAGTATCAGAATTTAAAGAAAAAAGAATTATCTTGGCTTTCTTGTTAAAAGAAAAATCTGTAAATATTCAGTTAGCTCCAAACTATGCTCAAGTTACACACAAGGCTGATCATTTGCTACTGAGAAGTCCTTCCTAAAATTTTACAGTCTTGCCTCCTTCCACAGCACAGGAACAAAGAAAACCCATGGCCATCCATCAATCTGTATGGTTTTTTTTTAACTTGGACAAGCAAAGGGATAAGTGTGCCCTGAACTGGTACCAAGGAAACAAGCTAATGGCCTGCAGCACAGAACTAATCTCCATGGGAACATCTCAGTACTACACACATATATTATTAAAAGAAAAATGTCTGATATCAAGGTCACAGTGGACCAGTTGTGTCTTTTATATCTGGACAGAAAGATGGAGTAGATTTTTCCTACTTTTACCAGAGAAGAAAATGAAAAAATATTTTGCAGGATCAAGGAAACACTGCTCTCCATCCATCACTGTTCAAAGTCCAGATACCCTACTGAGCAGACATGACAAACAAGAGGGGGTAGACTGACACTTCTCAGAGTACTTTTTTAGAAACTTCATCAGACTCATTTTGAAATCTGTTATTCATACTGACCAATACACCAACCCAGGAGGAGCTGATGTCAAGAGTTTAAATCTTTACTCCCCTTCCTACTGTTGGGACAGTGTTAGAATAGTTAACCCGCATCTTCCTCATATCAAAAATACAAGTTCAAACCATGCTGCAGACTTGTGACAAATGCCACCTGAGTTATAAATTAGTATCTTGTCTTCTGCTACGTGAGCTGCAAGTTTTCAGATGCAGTGGTAGTTTTGCATTCCTTTACCAATTGCTTGTTACAGAAATGGGCATGCCTCAGGCAGGCCAGTCTGGCCACGCACGCTAAGCATAGCCTCCAAGTAAGACTGCGCAATGAATGGATAAGAACAATGGAAACGTTCCTTGTCACAGATATATTTGCAGACCACTAGCAATCATAGGACAGAAGGGCCTGACAGCATTGGCCACACTGCACTTCAAGTGAAGGGCACTATGAATTTGATCAGAAAAAAACAAAAACCTATAAAACTTGAAGACCTACTACATGACACATTAGAAAGTAATTAATTGGTATCAGTAAGGAACAAATGTATTGGTTAAAAACAGCTCAGAGAGGTGGATGCAAAAACTCAGCAACAGCCCACTAATTTATATCTAGCATTTAATGCTAGATATGATCCTGTTCTACACAGATACAATGTGCACCAAAAGAATGTGACCTTACCACAGTCGTATTTATTTGCAGCACCCTGTTAAGTTGGATTCTCTCACCTTCGTAAATGAAGACTACAGTGCTGATGAAAAGCAATATTTATCATATTTTAAGATCCTTTAGCAAAATAAAAAAGCAGTTCTTCTCTTTTGAAATAAAGCAATAAAATGGTAGGGTTTCAAAAAGGCAGTGGCAACAGTGTTCAAGATGCACTGGAAGATTACGCCAGCCACAAAGCACATCAAAATTCCAACGATCTTATTTTCAATCTGAGAATCCAGCATAAATCCTCAGCAACATGTCATTTCGGAAAGCAAGCTTGTGATACAATATGGTCATGACTATGAATTATTACTGTAATCGTAGTCTTTCGCTATAGCTATACGTACTTCAATTTAAGCCACGTTTCTTCACTATGATAACAGCAATTCAAAATAGTTTCTCTAACTTTCTCTATGCTTTTCTTTTATGTGAGCTCAGACAATGTCTACAGTTCAGTTTAGATCCTCCCTGTTTCTGCTACACACAACTGAAGCAAAATCCAGTGAGCCACCGCAGTGCTTGCCTGCTCCTCCAGTGACTATTTCCCACTGGCAGTCTAAACAAACATTGAAAAAGTAACAAGAAAAGATAACAATAATATTACAGTAACGTTAACTGCTATTTAGAAAGAGTCATTTCTAGTGTGTTTCACCAGCTTACCTGTCTGAAGCTTCTAAGTCAAAACAGAATCGCCTGTCTATAGTATCTATATTTCTTTTGGTACAATATGTAAGGACAAAGAGTTCCTCATCTCCCTGTGAAAAAAAAAAAATTTTATGCGCTTGACCCAGTAATTGAAAGCTTCAGTGAGCCAGTGTACAAACCAAGTAAGGTAAATTTACATTAAAATAATGGCAAAAACTATACTGAAAACTTGCAGAAGAATTCACTCACAGTTTCCGTTCAGGTCTCTGCGCAATAGCACATAAATTCCATGGTTATTTACAGGACATAAATGCAAAAACACTGAGTCATTTTAGCTGGTACTTTACAGCATAACACAGTACCATAGTAATTTAAACTAACAAAAATATTTTGCTATAAAGGTTTTGCACGTGTTACAATATAACCAAACAATGAGTGTAACAGAATTCTCCCATTTTATGTCAGACACAGCGATTTCCCTAGCAAAGACTATTGTTACAGTAACTAGAACAAAGTCAGTGTTCTTTACTGTCTTACAGAACCAGTCCTTACTTAAAGGCCAACCAATACTAGGATCATATTTTACCCTTAAGTATTCAGAAATCAGATAAACTCAGCTGTGAATGCTGCATGAGTTGTACCGGATTTATATCAGGATTAACTGCACATTTTAATTACTTCTTGTCATATTCAACACCTCCAGACACAGAAGGTTGTCAGGGAAGGAGTAACTGCATTGTGGATTTCAAAATGGGAGATCTTTTAATACAGAAAAAATGGCTTCATAAGTGTTTTAGAATGCTGAATGCTTACACACATAGTATGTTAACTAAAATGCCTTATTACAATTAGTGTAAATCAGGATAAAAAATTCACAGAAGTACTGAAATGATTAAGGAAGCCAAATGCCACTCATTTTCAGTATGGCAGGTTTTCCAGAGCTTTTGAAAGATCCTTCCAAATTCAATATATTTGTAAATATACACAGCCCTCAAAATCATGAAAGTCATCTCCCCTCTGCTCAAACTAATACGATATAATACCCTGATAAAATTCCAACAACATGATTTTCTAACCAAATTTGAAGATAGGGCAGGGTGCTGCATTTGCAGGAAGATTGACTCAAGCATTATTTTCCAGCTTCAGATATCCTTTTCCTTGCAACAAAATGCATTTCATCCATATTAATGCGTTCATTTAATGCATTCATTTAATGCGTCATCTCTGAAGGTGCTGAGTGCCCTCAATTCCCAACTATTTCAATAGGAATTAAAGCCATTTAAAGATCAACAGTCTTGGGTCTTGAATATTTCAGATGCTATCAAAGATACCTGAAATTACATTTGGTTGTCAGTACAAATTATATTCCTATTAAAATCCTCTTTTCTAGTCCCTCTTCTAGTATTTACAACTCTGAAAGAAAAATCAGACTGGAACACACAAGAAAGAAATTTCTAAGTCTGTTTTATTTTCGTGATTTATACTGTCACAAGTTAAATGCCTCATGGATAAACCAGACTCTGAATGGTGAAATACTGCACATTGCCTGTGCCATGTTCTCTGGTCTTCTAAATGGAAGCAGCTGAAAAGTCTGCAGAATTCTTATCTATTAATCCACCCATTACTTGAGGTTAATGTCCTTAAATGACAGACTGAATTGCATGAAGAAAGAAGAAAAAAGGGGCAAGGAGGTAGAGAGGGAAAGTACTTGACATCTTATCTGACACATCTTCTGATCTTGATACAGGGAAAGTATAAGAGTAGAATATAAAAATATACTTACAACTTTCCCTCCTGATCTGTGTTCAAATGGGATCATGGTGAACTTCTTCGTTTCTTTCCTATACGTGCAATAGTGCTTCACCCAGCTGGAACCAAAGGGAGCAGGCCCTACATAAAACAGAAGCCTTAAGTTGTATGTGCTTTTTCCAGTTCCTGTGTTTTCTTCTCCTGCTTTCCAAAATGTTACACAAGAGCCCTACTTAATTCTTAACAATGCAGTATCTAAAACAAAGAAATGAATTAAGAATATTATACAAAGTAATACAAATGTTAACCAGTTCTTACTATTCTAAAAAATTATATACGTAGTATTTCATACTTATGCTTAATGACAAATGGAAAGAATTATTAATGTATCTTTGCCTCACTACTACAGACAAAATATTTTTTCCATATAAAATAGATATCCCTTGGAAACTTTATTTAAGCAGAACACAGAAACCTAGTTTTTGGTAACTTGAAGCTAAATAACTGCAGATTGATGCACCCGTGTTGCAGTTCTACATTATCTACTGACTAAGGTCTGATTGCATTTTCTGACACCAAAACTCACTCCTAACTATTCATCAGTGTATGCCCTACATAGAATACACTCATTTAAGAGTCCAGCCTACTGCATATAGTATTATTGAGATTTCTGCCGTGATGTTAACAGTTAAAACTTGGATTCTGACCCTCTGTCGCTCCTCACTTCTACTAACTTATTAAAAAAAAAAAAAAAAAGATCTGCAAAGGAATCTTCTCTTTTGAAGAACTCTGTCCCAGAGTATCAGGGAAGCACTTCTCAAGTGGCTCAAGCTCACAGAGGATTTCACTGCTCCTAACCTGGAAGGTCTCACTGCCCTGCTCCTCAAGTCAGCTTCAGGCATAGGGAGCTCTTCTGAATACTTTCAGCTGATTCTAAAGCTCACGATGACCAAGACCAGTGAACTGATCTCACAGAATTTGTTATTTTTTATGGCTTAAAACTTATTTCTCAACACTGTAATACCAATGTTTCGATCAAGAATGTTGGAGAGTCTCCAATTTATGAAACATTTCACAGAAATCTTTACTCAAACAGTAATCAACTAAATATCATAGAAGTATAATCTCCCAACAGAATAAGCAAACAAACTTTCTATAAGGGCACACATCTAAAAAATATTATTTATGCAAAATGTTTTTTAAAAGAAAAAAAAAATTACTTTGTGGTAATTCCTTGAGCAGTATGAGCTCTGCATCTTATTTGGCTTTTTTACTAGAGCAAGAAAGACTTATAATTGTTCCAAGTATTGACAGGATATGATTTGTGTGAGACATGCACCTTCACAGCAAGCTACCTAGCATAAAGCCTGCTTTATTTGACCATATGATCATAATTAGGTAATGAAAGCATATCATTGAACCAAGGAAATGACAGTCAATTTCATCACACTAAACAAGCCCGATTTTCAGAGGCTAATTTGACAACTCATGTCGTGGTCTGACAATAAGTGTTTGACAATTCTAGGGGAGGTCATTAGTAAGGGATTAAAAATAACATTAAATACATCCTTTGGTCAAATTATATTTCCCTGAATTCAGTCATCTTTGCTAAGATCTGTCACACTTTCAGCACCATGCTCTTTTTATGAGCCGTGGTAACACTGCCATTAGAGACTTCGAACATTTACTCAGATGACCCTGTTTAATAAAGTGTAAATTCTTTGCATCTTCATGTTACGTGTAGAAATAAGACTTGTGGATGCACAATATGGGCACTATAGGAATATAAAAATATGCAAAAATACACCTTACTTTTTTCCTGTACATAGAGATAGCCTTCCATTGTGAAGTGATTTGCTCTTTTATGTTCCTGAGGATTTCTTCTGATCTTGTTCATGAGCTCCTCTACCTCTGACCTTGTTCCTTCAAAACGATTTCGTGTCTAAAACAAAATGGCAAAAACTCATTAGTAGAGAGAGCGGGAGAAAGACTTACTCTTCCTGAAAGATTGGAGCTATAATAATTATTTGTAAAATGAGAGAACAACTCAGGCCATTTTAGGATGGTCACTGCACGATCGCCATATATGTTTACTCTTCAAGTTTTCTGATACCCTTCAGAAGTAAAGTGTGGTTTAGATATTAGCTCTTTAACTGCAGAAAGTGTACAATGATTGCCAGAGTAGATTTCTAAAACAATGCACTGATCTGTTGAGAAAAGTGAAATACTGAGTGCAAAATTACTTTCAAATTTGAATATTCAAGTTTCTGTAGAAAAATATTAATACAGATGTTGGTTTAATTCATGAAATTCTTACTAGTTGTCAGGAAGGAGAGGATTTTCTGTGGTTATTGAGAAAAAAGTGACAGGAAGGTCACCAACTATGTATACACGTTGAAACTATACACATGCCACATGTTTTGATCACACACAAGCAGAAGCATGCAAAAAAAAAAAAAAAGTCCAGTTTATTATTATTCCTGAATGTCACTCATTCCAAAGTTTGCAGGCAGCCACAAGAGAAATATTTGTTATAATATTAGTAAAAACAATCAGAAAGTAACCGCACCATCCACAAATTATGCAATAGGACTACACAAAATAACAGCAGCTCACACCCAATACAAGAAACTCTTCAGTTTTGTTTGAAAAACACTGGCAATTGGCCAATGAGCAAATAAGAAAACTAAACCAATCATGGTTAATACCTAGTTTTCTCCACATACCCACTTGTCCAAATTGCACAAACCAAAAACACACATTTAAATTCCAAGCTGGCATTTTCCCCAATTGGTACATGTGTTTTGAGGAAACCACATCCTTCCAGATGCATGCTTGTGTATCTTGTTGTTTTTTTGAAAACACCTTTATTTTTCTGAAAACGGATGAGCTTCTGAAAATCCTGCCTCACCAGTTTTACTTTTTTCCCCAGGACAAGCATACAGTTGCATACACTGACAAATATAGCATGAATGTAAACAAGCATCCATTCTTGCACACAGACAACTAACACTCTGCTCCTGGCTGGCCATCTGTACATGCAAATTCCAGATTTATGCTTGGAGGGAGTTTATTCATGGGCACAAACACAGTCCATGCACACTGGTCAGATGAGACACCCATACCCACATGCTCTATAAATAGAGCAAAGCTGAAGATATTTTTCAGGTAATGACTAAGAACAACTGCCTCCTTACCTCCAGGCAAAACAACTGCTCTGAACCCTCCCCATATCCATCATCTCAATTTCAGGTCACATCTGCTTGCAAATTTTGGAGTTAGACCCTGCACATAAACTCGTTTCCAAGGCTCCAAACAATTTTGTAAGCTCCTTTTCATAATGTCCTAGAAGAGCTGCATTAAAATATGTACTCTGTACTCAGGACAAAGGCAAAAAAATGGGTAGTGACAGACTACTCATTCCTAAACCTTCCTGATCACTCTGAGGTTAGATGTTTTAAATGATTCTGCCAGGATCTTTGCCCTAGCTGTGCAGTGATCACAAATCCGAGTATGTGAAATGCACCCTGGGAATGGTGGGATGGAGCACCACAGGCTCCAGAAACCTCAAGAAAATTTCTCTCTCTGTGTTGTGAAAAAGTAGAGCTTAACCAGGGTTCGACCACAGCTGCTGCACCAGCGTGGCTCTGCCGCCTTTTCCCACAGAAGGCCAAGTTTGCTTGCTGGGCAGAAGAGCATGGTCGAGGCTGCAAAGATCCTTGTATGCAGTTGGGCACAGAACTGAGATAACATGAGAAAAGTCCCCATAGATGCGGGGGAATCTAGTGGGAGATGCAGGATTTTTACAAGAGAATAAGACTGTTGAAAGAATCAGCTTGCTGGAGCTTGGGCTACAAGGTTAGGGTTTTGGGTTGGTGTTTGTTTTTTTTTTTCCTTTCTTTCATTTTGGAGGAGTGATGGGAAGATAGGGTCTGGGGCAGGGTATGGAGAGGAAATCCACAGTATAATTCTCAAAGTAGAGATGACCTGAATGAAAAGGCAATTACTACAGCTGTGCTGGCAACTCTCAAATCACTCTTCATATCCAGTTAGGCTCTCCATACTGAATCTTGTACGCTTCAGTTTCTAACATGTCAATTCAGTGTTCTGCCAGTAGCTCAGCTGTACCACAGCCAAGTCCTAGTTCATTTTTCCTTTGGGATGTTTTGCTCATCTTCAACACAGTGGAGAATGTGTCATGTTCTCTCATGATCTTTTCAGACACTTTCTTCTATTCTCCTCTTACCTCAGACAGTTGTTAGGTCTTGCCTCTTTTCTCTCTACAGCTTTTTGAAACCCAGGTCATTCTTTCTATCTATTCATAAAACTTGAGCTGTACAGCACAATCTCTTGGATTTCCTGGGACACACCATTCAGTCATTTGAAAACGCGTGTTGAGATTAGCTTGCTTTCTTATTGCTCATCATTTCTTCATACCACTTCACTGGCTCTTTTCCATCTGTAATCTGAAATCCAGCTCTTCAAAACTGTATCATAGCTTCTGTCTCAAGTTGCATTTCTTGCTTGTCTTTCATCAGCTCCCCTCTATCCACTGCAGCTCCGTGCTGCTCCTCATCCTGTTAAGCTAAACACACAGAAGCAGCAAGTCTGTCTTGAAATTTCTTCCAGAAGCACTGACTTCTGCCACAGAAGTCTGCTTATGAAGTTACCACTACTCAGTTCCCCTATCCAAACCAAACATCAGCTCAAGAGGAAACTTGAGACTTAAACATACGGGAAGAAAATTAAATGAATGGTATCATGACACATGAATTACGTCACTATGTATTACAGCAACTGTAATCCTCTCTTCCGCCTTTCCATCTCCTTGCTACCACCTGCTCGTTAAGCCATTTCTAAAAACAGATTACAACCTCTGAGAAGTAGTTTCTGTGTCTTAATTCCAGGTGCCCTTAGAGGTCAATAAAACAGACACACCATCATGAAATGCTTGTTTGCAGTAAGGTACGCAGCTTGTTCCCTACCAACAGGCCTCTGGCACATCCAAGTTCCTCTGAGTGAGTTTTATTCTTCAACAAATCTCAAGGAAGCAAACAGACTATCTGACTAGTGACTCCATCAGTCCCATCGCTTCAGCCTGTCACCTTGCCCAATGCTCTCCCAGTCCTGAGCAGATCACACTGGGCAATTTGTTGTGAAGGTATGCTTAGTAGTGGTGGGCCCCAGTTAGCCCACCCCTGCAGGAACACAACGTTTTGTCAAATATGCCATGAGTGCTAACATCAAGTCTCTATATAGAGTTCTGCACCCCAGACCAAGAGGGATGTTCTTCCCTGAAAGGGCTGCTTCGAGACAAACAGAAACTCCAAGTCACACTGCTGGCAGAGACATCAAAAGCAATGCTGATAAGCCTAGTTCTTTTTCTTTCCTTTTCTTAGTTATGGATAATACAGCCCTATCAAGCAATGACTCTCAGGCATGACCACCACATACTTGATTTCAAACACACCTAAAACACTGAGAAGCTTGGCATTTCATTACCCCTCCTCTGGATTCTCCAGTGTTGTACGCATTTTAACAGACTTCATTCGGTTTTAAACGCTTTCATGATAATCCTTGTGTTATGTCTCTATTAAAAAAAACTGGAAAAAAGGAGTGGGGGCCATTTATTTGTTGTTTGTTTTTTAGAAGAGTAGTAGAAATGACGAAATAAGAACTCACTGGAATTAGCGAGGACTTGTTCAGCGATGCGGCTCGTTAGCCAGGAGATGGCACTATATCCCCAAAGTTCACAGGCACTAACACGGAGGAAAGTATTGGCAATACAGAATCACAGAATCACTAAGGTTGGAAAGGGCCTTCAAGATCATGGAGTCCAACCATTAATCCAGCGCCACCGGGTCCCCGAAACCATGGATGCTGTATAGGCAGTAACTTAAGTGCATGAGTTTATTTCAAAAATTAGAAAAGGCATAGATATCAATCTCAACTTACATTTTGTATATTTATCTGCAAGGCCATTTTGTAATGATTGAAGTCTTTAGCAAGTTCATATCCCTGATGATAGAAAGTGAACAAACCCTGAAAAAATGATAGCACCTGCAACACAAACAAAAGACTTGTTTAGATGGAAAACCCCATTTACCAGAATATGACTGCTGCACATAGCCTTTTTTAGAAAGATCAGAGATGACGAAATTGTTGTTTTGAAACGCATTTCCACTAATGCCTACAATTTATGAATAACTATTTGGGTCCAAATGATCAGCTACGTATATAGGCATTTTTGGATGGTCCTGCCTCTGGAATTTCACAACTGATTTCTACTTTATATTTGGCCATAGGCAATGTATATTGCCTACCGCCCAAACTTTCCTATGTAATGTTTTCCTACAGCTGCTCTGATACCAATGATGTCTGGAATAAGTATTTGTGCACAAGGAGGTAATGATCATTTGTCTTTTAGTCACCATTTCCCTGGTCATCCCCCTCCCTGCCAATGACCACACTGAGATGACTTTCCTAACAGTCAACTGGCTAGTTCGAAGAAGGAAGAAGGAAGGTCTCCCTTCAGTAGCTTTACCCATCACTGCTTTTTGTATACAGATTAGATCCCCCATCAGAACCAGCAAATGGTCCATGTTGCAGTTTCTGGCTTCAGTGTTTCAATTCAGAACAGAAGAATGCATGAGTTATACTATATTGGAAACAGGGCATGGTGCAGCACTGCCTATCTCTCCTGTTTGTTCAGGTTTTTGGAAAGAAACAAGTGACACAGGAGAGAACAACTCCATTAAATATGTTCTTCAGTTTGTTGTCTTGAATAAAAGTCTGAAGTCATATGCAAATAAACCATTTTCAAAAATGCAAAACAATACATAAATTTGAAGTATTGCAAAGGTTAAAGGGGATAAGAATTTGGTACTAAATAATTTCAGTTTACTACCCTAGTGAAAACTTCAAATACAAACTGAGCAACATGAAGTTCAGCCCCATCCAGAGGGTGCTGTCAGAAAAGAGAAAGGGACATGTTATGTTTCAAAAACATCATTTGAAGATTCATTACTCTTGTCTGGCTCTGAGGAAACTTCAAATGGTTTGAAACACAAGAACCTAATCCAAAATTATTTAGGATTTTTAAAAAAAAACACACACACACCAAACATTAAAAACTAGAAAAAGAAAATAAAATTAAAAAAAAAAAAAACACCAACACATCAGCCACAAAAAAATCGCATAAATCCCATACAACCATTTTTCACATTTTCCCATTCCTTGAGCAATGCTAATATGTTTAAAGCAATTTATTCCCACTAAGGATTTTAGCAATTTTTTCACGCAGGGACAAGCTATATTAAAATATACAGCTCTCATTAAGCCAATAACGACCAACTACTTTGATTAGTGTTATTTTAGACTTTTTTTCATTATTACATTAAAATAATTGTATCAGAATAAAAGGACAGACTCGGCCCAAAAACACAGACTTCAGAGCATGAGTAAATGGAAGTCACTTCTACAATCCATCCTCCCTTTACCTCAGTATTACACTTACTGTTCTGTTGCTGTTTCATAAAGTTGCATTTATACTATGAAGCTAATGGACATTTCACAAAATTTTAGAATAAGCTCTTCTCAGATATTTAAGTAAGTCTGGTCAGTACATGTATGATTTTCACTGAAATTCTGTGGAGCCCCTTGATTTCTGCACAGATTCAACTGCAATTGAAATAAAAAATACCAGACTACCTGATAATGAGCTTTTTGGACAGCAGCACCCTCTTAATTAGTTTGTATCTGCACTTCTTCACTATTGGGCCTCTAAGTGCAACCTTTGTATCGAAAACAAAATTCGTTAGTCAGGAATAACATTTTGGTGGTTAAAAAGAAAGTCTGACCCCAACATCATCTTCTTGAATCCTCTACTCTAACTCACACCATAAATCGAAGTTTTGGCAATACAGCACAAGATTTCACACATTTTTCTGAAAATCAACACCAGGGGATCCAAATCAACTGTAATTACTGAGCTAAGCTTTGAGACGCCTGGTTAACTGTATCTGTACTAGGAATTTGCACAGATGTAACAGAAGTGCTTTAACTTCTGTTAAGTCACACAATTGCATACATTTTCCCAGAAAACAGAGCTCCTTGGCTTTTGTCCAGCTGCATTCCTTCTCCATCCCTTATGAATGACAGGGTAGGCTGAATTCACTGGTACTTACAGGTTCCACACACTCAAATTTCTTCCGCTCCTGTATCTCTTGCAACTTGCATACATACTCGAGGGACAGCTCATAGAAGTGTTTTCTGTTCTGCTCCACTTGGTTATCTGCCTGCACACAGAATACATACAGCTAATGAAGTTTCAAAGACATTTTGCAGACAGCTTCAAAATGACATATGTATAGCATACAAGTGGCAAGCGATAAGATAATTTTCTCAGACTGGGATTTGTTTCTTTACAATATAGTTCATTCATTTACTTTTAAATGACAGCAGCAGTTCCCTTTTACAAGATAACATATGTTGTTTTGAATCATAGAATCACAGAATAGTTTGGGTTGGAAGGGACCTTTCAAGGTCATCTAGTCCACCCCCCCTGCAATGAGCAGGGACATCTTCAACTAGATCAGGTTGCTCAGAGCCCCGGCCAGCCTGACCTTGAATGTTTCCAGTGATGAAGCATCTACCACTCCTCTGGGAAACCTGTGCCAGAGTTTCATCACCCTCAGTGTGAAAAATTTCTTCCTTATTATCTAGTCTAGATCCACCCTCTCTTAGTTTAAAATCATTACACCTTGTCCTGTTGCAACAGGCACTGCTAAAAAATCTGTCCTCATCTTTCTTATAAGGCCCCTTTAAGGAGTGGAAGGCGGCAATAAGGTCTCCCTGGAGCCTTCTCTTCTCCAGGCTGAACAACCCCTACTCTCTCAGCCTGTCCTCATAGGAGAGGTGTTCCATCCCTCTGATCATTTTTGCAGCCCTCTCTGACAGGTCCATGTCTTCCCTGTGCTGAGGGCTCCAGAGCTGGACTCCAATACTGCAGGTGGGGTCTCACCAGAGCAGAGCAGAGGGGCAGAATCACCTTCCTCCACCTGCTGGCCACACTGCTTTGGATGCAGCCCAGGATACAGTTGGCCTTCTGGGCTGTGAGTGCACATTGCCTGCTCATGTCCAGCTTTCCATCCACCAGGACCCCCAAGTCCTTCTCGGCAGGGCTGCTCTCGATCCCTTCATCCCCCAGCCTGTATTGATACTGGGGGTTGGCCTGACCCAGCTGCAGGGCCTTGCATCTGGCCTTGTTGAACCTCATGAGTTTCACATGGGCCCATTCCTTGAGCTTGTCCAGGTCCCTCTGGATGGCAGCCTGGCCCTCAGGCGTGTCAACTGCACCACTCAGCTTGGTGTTGTCTGCAAACTTGCTGAGGGTGCAGTCGATCCCTCTATGTCATTGATGAAGATACTAAAGAGCACTGGTCCCAATACAGACCCCTGAGGGATGCCACTCGTCACCGATCTCCATCTGGACATTGAACCATTGACCACTACCCTATGGATATGACCATCCAATCAATTCTTCATCCACCAAATAGTCCACCCCTCATGAGGCTAAATTGTTAAGAAACTTTCCTGTAAGACCTCTTCAAGCTGCTTTTCTATGGAATCCAAGCCAAATACATCAGAGCAGGTACTTGTGCACTGCTTTATAGCATTGAAAAGGTGCCTGCCCAAACAGAAGAACGGGCAGCAGTGTCTTCCATGAGAAAAAGGGGAAGTCATGTCTCCAGTCAAAGAAAGAAAGAAAATGTTATTGTTGAAAACCACATTGATGGCACCGTAAGCTTTACTTTATAACCCAAAGAACTGCTGTAAATACTATTGCACCCATCCCACACCTGTGCTCACTCTGACTGGCAAGAGCAGCAATTAACAACAGTTCACTTATTGGTAAGACACTCCACAAGTTTCCACAGAGCATCAAATATTTAAAAATGCAGCCTTATTAGCTGTAGTTGATTTTTAGCTCAGCTTTGCTGAAATACCAACACCATATTGATGGTGAACAGTTATATTTTATCTGCCATTCACTGACACATAAATATTTAACTTTCTAATATATACATGTTATTTTATTATTATTTAATGCACACGTGCCCTCATTAAACTATAAAACTTCATGAGCTGGGTAACAGAGACCTTTATTAAAATACATTAAAGAAAGGCTACATAGTCTTTGCCCATGTGATAATACCAAAAGCTTCTACACAAAATTACAAAAGGGAATGGAGAAAGGGCTAAGTGAAAGGATGAGACTTACTATCATACACCCTCTCTTAAATACTGAGACTATATCCTTCAGGCTGAACAGTGGCTTCTATGCTTTAAGAGGATAAGTCAAATTAGCTTCAAGACCATTTTGCCTTAAGACATGCCTTGCTTTGCTGCTGTGCGCTAGAAATCTGTCAGCGGCTAAAAGAGGCATCACGACAAATGCCATTCAAAGAAATAAAGCACTGATATGCACATCAGTAAGAAAACATGTTTCAAAAAGCCAAGCCATTTCAATGCATCCTATAAACCATGCAGCACAGGAACTGAGTTATCAGCACAAAGCTTCTAATGATATATACATGTACTGAAGGGTAGCTATAGAAAAAGACTGTGAGGTGGGTCTCCTAGGACAGCTGGCTAATCAATAGTAAGACTTGCCCTATATGCACCAAAGCCCCACATAAGCCTGTTTCTATCTCTCTCCTTTGTTTTCCAGTTGTTTATTGTTTTGGTTGCCTCCCCCCCAAAAAAACAACACCCTACACAGCCATTTTATTAATTCTTCTCAATCCCCCTGTAAATAAATTATCACATCTCTCATCAATTTTTTGAGGCATGAGTCTCCCTGCGCATCCAGCAAGTTTGCTCACTGTTGCATTGTACTTTGTGTATTGCTGAAGAAATATAGAAATAAGACACAAACCATGCCTCACGGAAATTTCAAGAATATCCCTCCACTGAGAGAGTCAAAGGCTGTATTAAGGTACGACATGCTCCACAATGTGGCAAGTTTTCCATCAAATTTTTGTCAAATTTATACCTGCATCCTTTATTTACTCCAGTCAGGAGCTGACAAAACTAGCCACGTATAATACTAAATTAGGAAGGTCCCGTGAAATTATATACATCTATTTTCTAAGCTTGTGCAAGAAAGTTTTTCCTATTTAGCACTCTGACAACATGCTGCAAGTCCTTTTTTTTTTTAATTGCTTATACATTTATACTCCAAAATTAAATGCACAAATGAAAGAGCTTGACTGAAGAGTTTGAGAATGTTTGCTCATGAAACTTTGAAGGACATTTAAAACAAATCTGTTTGTTCATTCTAGTCTTCACACATGCTTTAAAACTTCAGACTATATTTGATGCAGCTTCAAAATGCCTCTTGCAGGCATTTTGTATTTTTCCATCGAGGTCAGGTCTCATTTCAGACTTTGAAATATTGCTCTCAATATCATCAAGAGATCATAATTAATACTTTTTCATTTTTTCTGGATGAAGACCTTCAGCAGCTGATCAATTTGATAGAAATACAGGTCCTGACATGAGCAGTGCCCATTAACTTCACTGGGGTAACTCAACTCCCCAAAAGACACTTGTTTATGCATACAAGGGCCTGTGTTATAAATACAGTATGGAGAAGTAACATTCTAGTGAAACTCGAGAACAATCCAAGTTCTCAAGTTCCTAGCTAACTTGCCAGTTACATTAACCATTTTTTATGAAAGATGGCATAGACTACTTGGGGTGGGGTAAAGAGCAGGGAGAAGAGTTATCTCTCAGGAAAACATTAAGTGTTTAATGATACAAGGCATTCATAGACCAAGCATTAATAATTCTGACATAATTACATTTCTCTGGGACAAAAAAAATCCTTCTGCCTACAGCAAGCCTCTGCAAGAATTCTCTGCTATCTTCTCATGTACTATTTGCTGCTGCTCCAGAAATAAAAGCTATTACAAATAAGTATGATGATAATAAACCCACAGGGACAGAAGGAATGCCAGGCAAAACAGATCTGTTTTTAAGTTATAAATTGTCAACAAACTTTTTTGTAGCATTACTTGGAAAAAAGAAAAAAACAGATCTTCAAAATAGAAAAAAAAGAAGGAAAAAAAGAAGCACAAAACCACTTCTCTCAAATATGTAAGTCTTGCTGCATAAGCAAGACTCGTATAAGAGTCATCAAGCATTAACACAGGACATTGAGTTAATACATACAATGCAAATTATAGATACGGTAAAGTCTCATAAGAAATGCAGAGTTTTTCACAATGTACTTGCATTTTCCTATTCCCTTAGCTATATAAAAATTTAACATGATATTCAGTACCTCATACATGTCAAGTAAAACACTCTATTCAGAAAACAGTAGGAGTGTACCACTAAGGTCAGCAAACACTGATTTTCTCACAAACCATTTCAGTTGACAGAAATTTTCATTTTACCACTATGAATGCTGGTTTTGTATTTGCATAATATATATTTGCCTATTAAAAAGCCTATAGCTTGCATTAAAAAAAAAGAGGCAACAATACCTCTTGTAATTGTAGCTCTTTCTTCTTAGCTGACAAATTCAAATGCTTTTCTAACAAACTGTAGTTCTTCTCTGTCTCTTTATCAAACTTCTTCTTTTCCTCCTAGACACACAAACAAAGTAGCATTCATTTATATATAAAAATGTAAGAAAAGCCTCCCTCTTCCTTCTTTTAAAATTTTGAATCAGAAACAAAGAGAAACAAACTATCATAGCTCCAACAACTAAGGAAAAGTATTTTTCCAACTCATTTTTTAAATTAATTTAAAGGCTAAATTGAAAAGAAATCCCATTGCATCATTATGGTGAAGTTTATGACTGGAATGCTTACATCTTCCAATTTAAAAAGGAAAAAAAAACACCTCTTCTTGATTTATTGCATTTGTCATTATTTTCAGGGATCACCCTCATCATCTTGGTTTTTAAGAGAGGACTTCAAGGGCAATATCACAGAAAGTTCTTTTTTTCAACAACCGACAGGGGAAAAGTGTTAAAAATCATTTGATTAAGTTCCAACAGTTTCACAGTTCAAAACCCAAAGCAAATATAGCTCCATATTCCTTAGGATTTCTCAATTTCAAAGCCACATGAAGACCTCTGTGCTGAATACCTGCTTCCACCAGATTCTTGTTGCGTTCGTGTGAAAAAAAAAAAGGACTTTTTAAAATTAAAAATAATCTCCATACAACATAAAATCCTGCCAGAAAAAGAGAATCTCTCACAGACACATATGAATATCATCTCCACGTGCATATCCATTTCTTTACCAAAACCAATGTATTGGAAAAGTGACCGTCATTAAATGTTTCTAGGAAATCTGAGTTTTTAGATCTAATTTAGTAGAACACATTGTAAAACACCCTTTCATTTCCTCAGTTCTAGTTTCTTAGCTCTGTGTGTTACAACAGAAATCAGTAATCATAAAATCTTTCAACCAGTTTTGAAGTTATTTTTAATATAACCAATTGCAGTTGAAAATAATCCAAAATAAGTAAAATTAAATATTAAATTACATATTCAAGAACAGATAGATTTACTCATCAGAAAGAAAACAGTTAAAATATTGTTGCATCATCTGTCAATTTGGAATTTTATTTAAATGTATTCTACTCAACATGCTGGTTAGACTCTACAGACATACTTGCTCATTTTTTTTTTCTCTTAACTTTCATTTTTAATAAGTAATACTATATATAAGTGATACACGTTTTTGTTCTCTGAACAACTGGATTCTGAAGATGGCATTCTATTGAAGAGGGATTTAAGCTGTTTAGGATTGCTTCTCAGCAAGGAATTTTACCAAAAATGCTACTTTTCTCTCCATTATGAGTCTAAGAACTTCCTTTAAAAAAGCCGCCACAATACTCCTTACCAACGGAGAAACATTAAGATATGCATATAGAATCATAGAATAGTTTAGGTTGGAAGGAACCTTTAAAGGTTATCTAGTCCAAGCCCCAATATAGTATTAGTTTGATTAGAGATAACATATCAGTATATGGGGGGGGGG